GGGGGGAGTGGAGGGGGTAGCTGTGGGGTCAAGACTGGGGCCAGAGGGAAGTGGAGGGGGCGGCCGTGGGGCTGTGGAGGGGGTGGCTGTGGGGCCGGGGCTGGGAGGGGAGGGGTGGCCGTGGGGCTGGGGGCTGCAGGGCTGGGCTGCTAACTGCTGCCCTGGTGACCCCCGCCCCCCTTGTTCTCTCGCAGGGCACAGTGAAGAGACAGGTCTGCAGTAAGTGCGGCTCAGCTGTCGTGTCGTCGTACCCCCCCCCCCCCAGCTCTGAAGCAGAGGGCGCCGTGGGGGTGGACAGTGCAGATGCCAAACCCGGGTGGGGTGGGGGGAGATTGTTGTGGGTACAATGGGCCATGTGGCAGGGACCTGCCCTGCAGGGGGCGCTCACTGGGGTGCAGGGTCTCCTGGACGTGGGGAGCTCCACGCAGGGCGCCTGTGCCCCTTGCCACCCGTCTGGGGAGACGGGTGCCGATCCTGCCCTGGCAGCACCCCCCGGAGGCTGGCTCTGCACCCCGTCCCTTGGGCAGGTCTGTGCTATCCTTTACCCAGAGCAGTTTCTTAATTTTGTGGGGACCCAGCAAGATCTCCCTCCTCCCTCTTAGCTCCGGGTGCCCTGGATAACTGGGGGCCACCCCTTCTCCATGACCCCAGCACTGCTCAGCCCCTAGTGGAGTGATTCTCCCGTCTGGGTTCAAGAGCACGGGCCCCGCTGCAGGGGGTGCTGGCGGGCACCGTGACCCCTCCCCCCGGCCATCCTTCTGAAGAGGGGGGGTCATTTTTTCACTTTGCTGTGTCGGGAGCTGTCCAGGTTCCAGTCCCTGGGCCCCCATGATGCCCTCTGTGTGGTTATTCCCCAGGGCACTTACCGGTAGCGACGACCGTCACGGTGAATGTGGACTCTGACGTGGCCCTGGGTACAGGTGAGGCCATGATGAGACAGTGGGCGGGGGGGGGGCATGGAGGGAAACGTGGTGATTTGCAAGCCCCTCCCCTGTGGCCACATGCCCCGCCCTAGCGTGCTACAGTAGCTGGATGGTTCTTCCCAAGGCTGGGCGGTGACATTGACATGGTTAATAATGAGATCAAGGTGACCATCAGTAGGGGTCAGAGTTAACACCCATGTAAGAGGCCTGGAGGCAGCAACCCCTCCCCCCACCCACCGTCCTGTTGGCTCAGCCTCTCTGCAGACTCAGGCAGGCAGCCCCAGAAGCTTTCACCTGCCCAAGGGGAGTTGGTGGGGCTGGCTGTGTGAGGAGAGCTGTGGCAGGTCGCTGGAGGAGTGGTTGGGGGCGGGGTGCGGTGGCTCTGTGCCCTGCCTGTAGGCTGGGGGCTGGGACCTGGCTCAAATCCGTCTCCTTTCCTGCAGGTGAGGAGCCCGGGAAGCCGCAGCCTCCCCACCCCGCCGCGTGGACTCCCAGGTACTGGGGTGCCCTTGCCGTGGGTGGGGAGGGATGGATGTCGGAGTCCTTGTATGACGCGCCTGCTCTCCAGAGCACCCGCACCAGGCTGCTGGGGCAGCTTTGGGACCCCACGGAGCGCGGTCAGCTTGTGGAGGGCGGGGGGGGGGGATCCCAGCCCTTCCCACGCCCCCTTCGCCACAGGGCCCTCCCAGCCTGGCGTTCCCCGCAGCCAGCGCCCCAGATGTCTGGGGCAGGCGCCCTGGGGCATGGGATGGGGCCAGGAGTAAGCACGTGTCTGGGGGCCCCGCTGATCTCCCCTGCTTTGGTCCGTCCCCAGCTGCGCAGGGAAGCCCCGGCCGGACGCAGTCCCTTCCGCAGCCCTGTTTGGGCCCCCGCTGGAGTCGGCCTTCGAAGCGGAGGATTTCCCAGGTACGCGTGGGCTGCCGGTGCCCACCTCACAGGAGGGGAAACTGAGGCACGGCGCGGTGGGGATGTCCCACAGCATGTGAGAGATCCGGAGCTGGGAATAGGACCAGGACCCCTGGGTTCTGCGTTCTGGCTTCAGCTTGGAGCCAGGGCTCCCCCTGCTGGCCTTTCTGTGCAGCGCAGCCCCTGTGCTGAGCTCTGCGAAGCTGCCCCTTGCCCCTGCCCCCTCTATTTGGGGGGCAGCGGCCCTGCCCTCGCTGGCTCCGTGACGGGAACGTCGCCCTGTCTCCACAGCGTCCCGAGCCTGCGGCCTGGGCTCCAGCCCGTCTCCCTTCTCCTCCTCGTCTCCAGAGAACGTGGAAGACTCGGGGCTGGACTCCCCCTTGCACCCCCCCACGGGCCCCTCGCCGGACTCCAGGCCCTGGACGCCACAGAGCCCCCTCGCCAGACGGCCCGCCAAGGGCTCCCCGCGGCTCCAAGAGGAGCGGGGCGTCCTGCCCCCCACGACGGCCGCCTCGGAGGAGCAGAGCGCCTGGCTGCCCCCGCCCGCCAGCCCCACCGGGTGGCCCCAGGACACCCCCTGCTTTGCCGCCTTCGGAGAGGACTCGGGGGCGGGGTCTCAGCACGACTCCCGTTGCCCCAGCACCACGGCCCCTTCGCCCGACCCCTCCGGGGACCCCGAGGCCTGGGCGGCCAGGCCTCCGAGTCCCGGCTCGGAGGAGGCCCTGCAGCCCTGCAAGCATGGGGCCTGCCCCCCCTCCCACTCCTCGGCCTCTCCGGTGCCCCACAGCTGCAGGGAGCCCTCCGGCCCCTCCCCGTGGACTCCCCAGGGGCCCGGCCCCAGGCTGTCAGACAGCAGCACGCCGGCGGCTGAGCCCGGTGAGTACAGCCCTGGGGGTGGGGTGGGGGGGGTTGGGTAAGGACCTGCCGCTCGGCTCCCTGCTTCGCAGAGCACGAGTGGAGCACGGCAAGGAGCAGTGACCTTCCCCCCCCAACTGCTCTGCCGGTGCCGCTCGATCCCACCCTGCAACCCCCTGATATCCCCCTGATATCCCAGGCCTGGGCTCCCCCCAGCTCTGCCGGTGCCCCTCGATCCCACCCTGCAACCCCCTGATATCCCCCTGCTATCCCAGGCCTGGGCTCCCCCCAGCTCTGCTGGTGCCCCTCGATATCCCAGCTCTGGGCTCCCCCCAGCTCTGCCGGTGCCGCTCGATCCCACCCTGCAACCCCCTGATATCCCCCTGCTATCCCAGGCCTGGACTCTCTGCCCCCACAGCTCTGCCAGTGCCCCATAGTCCCAAACCGTAGCCTCTGCTATCTCAGCTCTGGGCTCCCCCCAGCTCTGCCGGTGCCCCTCAGTCCTGACCAGCGCCAGCCCCACTCTTCTCGCTCCAGGTCTCTCAGGCACTGGCCGATCCTACCCACCTGGCGCTCCTAGTGAGGAGGAAACGTGTCTGTTTAGGTGCCAGGCTGAGTTGCTTGCCCACGTGACCTGGTTCTGGTTCCTGAACTCCTGGACTGACCCCTCTGAGTGCCCGGCCCTGGCACTTTGCTGGGTCGCGCACTCCTGCCTCTGCGTCCCCACCCCACAGCCACCTCCCGTGTGCCTCATCCCCCCCCCCCCAGTGTTGTGGGACGGACCTTGCCCCCCCATCTCTCACTCCTGCCTTGTACTTCCACAGATCCTCCCCCTGCCCCCACTCTGCCCAGCGCCGCCCCCAAGGTGGCCCCCCCGCGGCGATCCAGGACGAAGAGGCTATCGACGGGGCAGGCCGCCTGCAGCCACAGTGACCCGGTGGGTGGCGCTGCGCTGTGCTGGCAGGGAGCCAGGGTGTGTGTGGAGGGATGGGGAAACTGAGGCACAGAGCGAGTAAGTCACTTGTCCAGGGAGTCTGGCAGAGCTGGGGTTTGAACCCCGATCGCCTGGGTCCCAACGCGGCGCTGTGCAGGCAACTGGCGTCGCTGACCCTTGGCGGGGACTGAGGAATTTTTCAACTTTGTCAAGAGGCGGATTCAGACTAACGGCTCTTCCCGGCCCTGCCGCGGGGCTCGGCTGCGTCTCAAGGGAAAACCAGCCATGACCTCGGGTCTCTAGGGTGGCCGATCCCCGGCCCTCGCTGAGACCCCAGAGCAGACACGAGCTCACGGGGAGGGTTCTGCACAGACCCCCTGGGGTGGCTGTTTTCTCCTGCCTGGCGGAGGCCGCGTGCTTTCCTGGGGAGTCTAACCATTAGCAGTGGGGCTGGTGCTCCTGGGTCCAGGAGGGAAGTGAGGTTTTGAAGGTAGCAGGAGACTGGGACCCAGGACCCCTGGGTTCTATTTGCAGCTCAGTCCTGACCCGCTGGATGGCCCTGCCTCAGTTTCCCCACCTGTACAATGGGGCTAACGATCCCATTTGCAAAGTGCTTTGGGATCCCAAGCCCTTGGAGTCTCCTGTCCCCTCCTTGCCCTGCCGGTGGGTTAGCCCATCCCTGGCCTGGAAGGTGACTTATCGCCCTTTGTTTTGCAGTCCCGCTCCCTGTGCCCCTCTCCCCTGTGGAATTCTGGCCCTTCCCACTCAGCTCCGGCCAGCCTGGGCGAGCGCAGCTTCTTCACGGTCTCGCAGCCGGCGCTCGGTACGTACCCCGGGGGGCGCGGGTGCCAGGCGGGACGGGAGGGGACTGGCCCCGAGCATCGGGGTGGGGGCAGGGGGTGAACCTGTGGATAGAAGGGAGGGGGCCCAAGCCGGGGGAGGGGAAGGGGAGCTTTGGGCTGGGTTTGGTCAGAGGCTCTGGACCTGACCCCACCTCCCCTCCCACCCCCCAGGGCTCTCCCGAGGCCCCAGCCCCGTGGTGCTGGGATCCCAGGATGCACTTCCCGTGGCAACCGCCTTCACCGAGTACATCCATGCCTACTTCAAGGGTCAGGACCCTGACAGGTAAGGTGGGGGATGGGGCCCAGCCTAGGGGTGCCCTGGTTATGGGGAGGGGGAAAGAGACTGCTCGGAGGAGCGCCAGGGCTAGATATCTGCCCCCAGATCTCATGGGGCACCGGGGAGGGGGAGACAGGGACTGGGTCTCTCCCTCCCTGCCCCTTCCCACAATCCCTCTGGGCGCTGGTGGGCGGACCAAGCTCCCCTGTGGTGCCAAGCTCAGAGCAGACCCTTGGGAAGCAGGGCTTGCCCCACACTGGCTGGGATCCTGTGCTTCAGTTTCACCAACCAACGTCTCGCGCCCTGTAACTGCCTGACCACGGAGTCCCAGCCCAGCCCCCGGGGTGCCCTGCTCTGTCTCGCCACCCAGGTGAGATGGTCCCTCCCGCCAAAAATCACACCAAAGCACCAGTCACTTGCCCCGGGTCAGTTGCACCTTCGATCTGGCACCGATCCCTTGTAGCCAGTCTGATCCTAGACTAGCTAAAGATTCATGAACTAGGAAAAGGAAATCGACACGCTATTGACAAGGGTAAAGCAGCCAACAAACCGGTTCCAATTTGGCTTCCAAAAGTAACAGAAGCTTCTGTGATAAACAAGCTGCGTGTGTCCTTGGGGGCTAACCCAGGCCAAGCCCTGGAGATCTGCGTCTGCCTAGCAATCCTCCTCCCCCCTTCTCCCCCCCGGAGCCCAAGCAGCGAAAAAGATCGTGTTCCTCCTCATTAGGACTTCTGATTCCTTCCTTCCTTCCTGGCTGGCGCTTTGCAGTGACAGAGCAAACACGGGGGACCCGGCCGCTTATACCCCTAATCCCCCTCCTGGCCCCGAACATGCCGAGCCCGGCTGGGTCCAGCCCTGGATCTGTCAGGGTTCAGGGGGGCCTAGGAGCTGGTCTGCCAGCGTCACACCCACATTGGGGTGGCTGGATCTCCCATCCCCCTGCCTCACCCCCGAGCCCCGGGGAATTGTGGGAATGGAGTGGGGAAAGCTGGGAGTTCCAGCCATCCCCTGCCCCAGGGAATTGTGGGAATGGGGTGGGGGGAAAGATGGGAGATCCGGCCACCCCAAGGCCCTGGGGCATTGTGGGAGCTGGGAGATCCCCTCCCTCCATTCCCCCAATCCCGCGGGGGAGGGGGCTGGACTCCCCACAGGCCGTGAGGTGCTGGGCTCTCCCCTCCTGTTGCTGGGGGGGGGGGGCTCTGAGTTAATGCCTGGCTTCCCCCCCAGCTGTCTGGTGAAGATCACGGGCGAGCTCACCATGTCCTTCCCCGCCGGCATCGTCCGCGTCTTCAGCGGGAGCCCGTCCCCGCCCGTCCTGAGCTTCCGTCTGCTCAACACGGCACCCATCGAGCAGTTCCTGCCCAGCGCCGAGCTACTGTACAGGTACTGGGGGGGCCATGGGGGCTCTGCTGGGGCTCTGAGGCTGCGTCCCAGCCTGTCTGACCCGCCCCTCTCCCACCCGCAGTGACCCATCCCAGAGTGACCCCAGCACCAAGGACTTCTGGCTGAACATGCCGGCGCTGACCGGGCACCTGCAGAAGCAGGCAGAGCAGGCCCCGGCCGCCTCCTACTACAACGTGGCCCTTCTCAAGTACCAGGTGAGGCGCCAGTGGGGACGCCCCACCCGCCCGGGATCCCCCTATCCCCAGGCAGCGCCGTCAGGACTCCTGGGTTCTCTCCCCAGCTCTGGGAGGGGAGTGGGGTCAAGTGGGTTGTGGTGGGGCTGGGAGCCAGGACTCCTGGGTTCTGTCTGTGGCTCGGGGATGGGGGAGAGGGAGTCTAGTGGGTTAGATCGAGGGGGGGCTGGGAGCCAGGACTCCTGGCTTCTCTCTGTGGCTTGGGGATGGGGGAGGGGGAGTCTAGGGGGGGCTAGGAGCCAGGACTCCTGTGCTCCCCCCCCGGGCTCTGAGAGGAGCAGAAGCTGTTCCCAGCCCCCCACTGCCGGCCCCTCTAGCCGCTCTCTGCTCCCCTGGCAGTTCTCCAAGCTGGGCCCGAGCGCGGCCCCCCTGCAGCTGGCCGTGCGCTGGGACTGCACCGCGGCCACCACCCAGGTCAGCGTGGAGTACGGGTACAACGCCGGTGCCATGCCCGCGCCCAGGCCCCTCACCAACGTCCAGGTGCTGCTGCCCGTGGAGGAGCCGGTCGCCAATGTGCGGCTGCAGCCTGCGGCCAGCTGGTGAGAGCCGGGGGGCATGTTGGTGGGGAGGGGCTGGGCAGGGGACAGCTGGGAGTCCTGGTGGGGAGGAAGGACGGGGCGGGGGCAGGAGGAGCCTGGAGGCCCTGGCGGGTGGGGAAGAGGGATGGGAAGGGGGAACAGGAGGCGGCTGAGGCCCATGGCGGGGGAGGAAGGGTGGGAGGCAGGAGGTGGCTGAGGGCCCTGGGGGGTGGGGAAGGCGGTACAGGAGGCAGCTGGGGGCCAGTGGGGGGGAGGGACAGGGGGGCAGGAGGTGGTTGGGGGCCATGGGGAGGGACGGGGGGCAGG